ATAAAATTTAATGTTTAAAATAATTTAATTTATTATATAATTAATGTAATTAAAAATATATTAACATTATTAATTTATAAAATTAATTGTTTTGTATAAAAATAGTTTATTTAAATAATTAAAAGAAAAAAATAAAATTGGAGAGAAGTGAGTGGGCCATGTGGCTTGCAAATTGACTTGCAAATTTTGCAAATGAAATCTTATGTGGCACAAAATTGCATTTTTGCAATTGCTTTTGCAATCTATTTGCAAGCCCCATGTGGGTGCTCTAATTCATAATATAGCAAATTAAAGGCCTTTCTTACCGGTTTGAAGACACCCTTACCTGCCCAAAAACGAGGGCTTGTCGAAAGGCTAATGCCCACAAAAATCTTTTAATATTTTCAAGGGGTAAATGTATGAAATAACAACCTAATTTTATAAAAAAATTTATTATAGTATTGTACTTTCATTTTTTCTTATTACAATAATGTACATTCAAATTATTTTTTATTAAAACGTTGTACTTTAAAATTTCTATCCAATATAGCAATGGTAACTTGTTACCTTTTAAATTATTTAACCCCCACTCTTCTTTATTTACATAATTTAAATAAGGTGATACAGATGACACGTCATTAACGTGGCATTAATAGAAAAACCATCTTTCTAGTATTTTAATAATTTCCTTACTTTCTCTTGGTTATTCATATCCTATCCAAATTATGTTTTTCATCATTCTCTTTAAAATATTCTTTCACAAAAAAAATTCACTCTTGTTAAATTATATATAAATTAAATATTCTAGAGTAATTTATTTTAATAAATATAATATATTTTTAAGAAATATAACACTTATTTTTTTATTTTTTTATAATTCAAAAAATAAGTATTTTGTGATATTTTTAAAAAAGTCACCGTTATAAAATGTGTTTTACAAAAACTTCATAGTATTATTTTATTAATAAGGGGAAAATCACCAAACTAACCAAATTATACAACCTACTTTAACAAAATAACCAATTTTTAGAGCTTTTGCGAAATTAACCACCCAAATCGCCCCCCAAGGGCGATCAACCCCCGGGGGCGAGCCACGTCATCCTATTGCTCCCCGGGGACAATCCGGCCTTAAGTATATTAATTTTTTTTTATTTTTTATTCATTTTTTTGTAATACTAATTTCACTATAAATACCAACCTCCTACTTCATAATTTTTCACATCTCCTCTTTCATTTCTCTTCTCATATCTTCTACTCTCAAAACCTTTAACCCTTCAACTCAATAAACCATCACAACCTTTAACCCATTAAACACAATCAACCATCACAAAACATGAAATCACGTCAAAGTGATGATGTTTGTGTGTATCTTTGAAGTGGCGGTTTATTACAAGAGATAAATTGTGTGTTAGAGTACCTTCCAATAAGCTCCCCCACATGTGCAATACGTTTGTCTTCGTCAATAACGTATTATGGGGTCGTCAAACGTGTAACGAAAAAATTAAGTTTACGTAGTCCTTGCAATTTATTTTTTAAAACGAATACGTTATATCAGTTCATGGACGACGATGATGTGGTAATCTTCCACAACGCCATTCGTCAAACTTTACTAGAAATGTTGACATTATATGTGGTCAACAATGGAGGTTATGGAGGAAATCCATCAAGTGCAAACCCAGTCGGTCCAAACACTTTTTACCCCGGTGCTGTGAGCACACTCTTCCCTGACGTTAGCGGTGCAAACCCATATGGTCCAAGCACACTCTTCCCTACCGGTTGTGCTCCTGATGTAAATCAGAGCACTTTTTTCCCTAGTGGTGGCAGTGATGAAAATCCAAGCACCTTCTTCCCTTATGATGCCGCTAGAAATTCATAATTTTTGAACAAAAAATTACCGTTGAACCTGACAATTATTTTGTTCAAGATTTGAACATGCCTCCGATGCATTATCTCAACTCGTACCCGAACAGTCAAAACTATTGTGGGAGGTATATATGGTCGAAGATGTTTCTGTTGCTGCCGAAATTTTGAACATACCCGAAGACGACGATAACTCCGATTCTGAAGAAATTCAGCCGGTAAGGAATAGTTTTTAGGGTATGCCCGACCCAACACCTTGTCCAGACCCCGTTATCAAAAGTAGACAGAGAAACATTTCCTACCAGCCTACATCCCATGTCAAAGTTCTCCAAACCTTTAACACGAAGGAAACAAAGCTCGCAGTAGGATTAAAGTGCGTTCATGAAAACTTTCAGATGAAGGTAAAGAAATCTTCCAAACATCGGTACGAGGTGGTGTGTGACTCAGATTCGGACTGTGATTGGCGTTTAATGGTTGTCTCCATCGATGGTACTAGTATGTTTCAGGTACGGAAGCTCCACGATGAACACACATGTTCAAGGTCCCAAGTGCACCCAAACCATCGAAATGCGAATAAAAAGGTTTTGGGTCATATATTGGAAGGAAGTTTACAGGATTGTAGGAGAGTGTACCGTGGTAAAGAAATCATGGAAGATGTGAACCAACGGTTCAATATTAGCATCTCCTACAACCAAGCATGACGAACAAAGATGTATGCCTTGCAACTGTTGAGGAGGACCCCTGAATCGTCATTTAACCTATTCCCAGTTTATTGTCATAATCTGAAGCTAACAAATCCGGGGACTGTGACAGAGATCGTTGTTGATGGACTTGGATGATTCGATATGTTGTTTGTCACACTCGGTTGTTCGGTAATATTTTTATCATATTTTTAAATTATTTTCATAATTTTATGATCTGAAGTTTAGATTTTTAATCTCATTCATCTGCAGATTCGATCGTTTCTAGGACACAAGAGACCGCTTCTTATAATAGATGGTGCCCATCTGAAGGGGCCATACGTTGACACTATGTTCTTAGCGGTCGGCATGGATGGAAACAATGCGATCGTACCCATTGCAATGGGAGTGGAGAAGACAGAAAGCGTCCCGTCATGGAAATGGTTTTTACGTAAGCTAAGGCAGTGTATCGGTGATGTGCCCAATTTAACCTTTGTAACTGATAGGGCTGCCTTTATCGACCTGACCATACGAACTGTATTTCTTAACGCACACCACGGGCTTTGTTGTCGTCATCTGAGCCAAAACCTTCGCCTAACCTCCACTAAAGAGAAAAGGAAACGGTGGATGTTCTGCGAGGCATGCAAAGCTTATAGGTTGTCGGACTTTGAAGCTACTATGGATTTGATGCGGCATAGTCTACCTAGAGCCGCTAAATATCTTGAGAAAGTTGGCTACGCTAAATAGGCACGATCGCACTTCCTTGGATTGCGATACAGTGCACTGACGTCCAATAGTGTGACATCCGTCATTTTTGAGCTTCAGGTTAGCACCTTTATAGGGATTCTATATTTAGAATTATATTTTATTAGGATCTAGTCATGTTGATTAGAAGCCATCTGGCTTAGTTCCCAAATATAGTTCAGAGAACCTTGTTTCGACGGGTTGCTGATAAAGTTAACTTATGTAATGCCAAATTTATTAAAAATGTTCCAATTAAAATAAAGTTTGATATTATAAAATCCAAATTAAAAAAAATACAAAAGTCTCATTTSAATGTCCAAATAATTTTATCAAAAGGTGGAGCTTTGTATTAATAATGTCATTTTTAATAATGTTTGGCAAATTRTATTTTGATTATAAATTAATTGGGCTTATTCATGTTTAAAAGAAAAAAATAAAAGCTTTTAGTGGGTTTGGGCCTTTGAAAGTCAGCCCATTATCTTCTTTAAAATCCACATATAAATACCCCACATCCTTTGAAAATCTCATTATCAATTATCATTCTGCTTAAACCTTTCCCTCTCCCTAATCTCACTCTCTCTCTAAATCAAACCCYCTCCAGCCGATTCCATCATCGAGTACCTTTAGAAAATCTGTCAATCTTGAAGGATATTCAAGATTTCAAGAAAAAGGTATTATACTAGTTATCTTACCGATATTAAATATCAAAAATTCCTAATTATTCTACTCCTACTTCTTGTTCTTGTAAATAAAGTTTCTGGAGATTTYAAAAGGGGAGATTGTACATCCAAGATATGAAAATGTCTTCAAATGATGGTAATCTATGAACCACGAACTTTGAACTCTAAGAAAGTAGGAGAAAACCCATTGCATGTGGAATCTAATCACGAAAAGATGTATTTTGAAATCTGGCAGAATCTGGCAGAATCTTGCATGCATCTCAAATCGGTTTTATCTTCCTCAAAACTCAATGGAATTGGGTAATTCTCTTT